TCTCCCTGTTTGTAACTTATCTTTTTATTAAGTTTCTTTCACAGAGGTTTTTACTTTAATGAAGTCCAATTTATCAATTTTTTAATTTTATGAATGGTGACTTTGGTGTTGTCTCTAAGAACTCTGCCTAACTCCAAAGTCACAATGATTTCTGTCTTCTTCTAAGAGTTTTATAATTTTACATTTAGGTTTCTGATTGATCTTGAGTTAAATTTTGTTTAAGATGTGAGGTACCATGAATAGGTCAAGGCCCATTTTTAAAAATATGGCTTTCCAGGCCGGGTGCGGTGGCTCACGCCTGTAATCCTAACACTTTGGGAGGCTGAGATGGGTGGACCACTTGAGGTCAGGAGTTCCAAACCAGCCTGGCCAACATGGAAAAACCCTGTCTCTACTAAAAATAAAAAAAATTAAAAATAATGAGCCAGGCCTGGTGGCAGGCACCTATAGTCCCAGTTACTTGGGAAGCTGAGGCAGGAAAATCACTTGAACCAGGGAGGCAGAGGTTGCAATGAACAGAGATTGCGCCACTGCACTCCTCCAGCCTGGGCAACAGAGCGAGACTCCATCTCAAAAAAAAAGATAAGCAAATGTCAGTGTTCATGTGAAAACCTGTGTGTCAATGCTTATATCAGCTTTATTTGTAAAAAATATAAAAAACTGGAAACAACTCAAGTGTCTCTTATCTGGGGAATGGATAAACTGTGATGCACCCTTACATGGAGCATGACCCAGAACTGGCTGGAAGGAGCCAGCCAGTGAGGCACACAGCAATCTGCATACATTTTGAAGCTGTGCTTATGGAAATGCACCTTGCCATATGCAGCCAGACCCAAAAGGCCACATACTGTGTTATTCCACTTATGTACATTCTAGAAAAGGCAAAATGATAGGGAAGGGTGTTGCTAGGACTTAGGATTGGGGAATGTTTTGATGATACCAGCATAGCGCCGGGGAATCCTGGGGGAGGGGTGGTGGAATTGTTCTGTCTTCCTTGTGTTGGTGGTTACAGGACGGCATTTGTCAAAACTCATGGAATTACACACCAGAAAGAGTGGATTTTACTGCATGTAAATTTTCACCTAAGTTGTAATCCTAATGACATTTTACTGCAGTCATTCCTCATGTCTGGGTAGAAGGCCGCTTCTCTGCCCAACTCCACGTTCAGCCTGCGGCTTGAAATCTGATGTGGTGGGAGCATTTAACCATGGAAATTGGGAAACACGACAGATCAAAGCTGAATTTGTTGATTGTCAAGACTTAAAGTGATGAAGAAAATGCTTAAAGTGATGAAGAAAATGTTGATAATGCCAATTAAATGTAAATGTTAATAATGCCGATTAAATGTACATGTGTGTTACCCATAGCAGTTACATCATCAGTAGCACACAAAAAAATGGAAGAAATTGTCTTAAAGTATTTAACAACTATTATCTGACTCAGCAAAGAAGGCTTGTCAGTCCAATGTAAGTTTTTGTTGTTTCATTTACTCCTTAAGGTAAACACACCTGTCAAGCAGCATTCCTGTTGGAACTAGTCTCGTTTGTTCAGTTACAACCCTAGGTTGGCCATGGATGCGAGAGTCTCGCAAAAATCAATGAAAGCGTTCTGTGGGAATCAACTGGCTGGCTGGGATTCCCAGTTAAGAGTCCTGTGTGACTTTCTTTTGTGCACGGTGGTGTGCTGTGATTCCTTTACAGCGGTCTGGTGTTTTCCAAATGCACAGATGTGCTTGTGTTCACATCCTCCCCAGACCCACCCTGGAGAGCCGGTGGCTCAACATTGACCGGCAAGCCTCTGCTGGGCGTCACTGGACATGGAGAGGAGGACCCAAGTGGGAGCCCTGGAGCCACCTGTGTCAGGGGCCATGAGGGGGAGCTGGTAAAGGAGATGAGGGACACGCGCTGATGAAGGGCAGGGAACCATAGGACTCTAGAGAAGCTGTGACCGGGGAGGGAGTGGCCATCGGCATCACTGTTACTCAGAGGGTCCAGGAGGGATGGCCCAAAGCTGGGGCCCTCGAGGAAGTGCATCTCAAAGCCTAAGCCATTTGCCGGGCCACTTGTGGCCATGTGGCTTCACCTCCCCGAGTCACTTTAGCTGTGCAGCCGGAGGTGCAACAATGACGCTGACACCTCTTGGGTTGCACAGATGAAATGGGGTGACTGATTAGGGTAAAGGCTGGATGTAGGCTCTGAGTGCCCAGCACATGGCAGTTCCTTCTCTCTGGCTTCGTGGGGAGGTGGCCTTGTCCTGGGAGGAGGGTGGAACAGGCTGGAGCTGGAAGCTGTGAGGATGAAGGCTGAGAGTGAACTGTGTGGGCTGTGACGGTGTGGTATGGGGGGGCACAGGAACCCCTGCAGGGTGCTGAGGGGCAGGGACCAGGGCAGAGTCATCTTGGGAGAGGCATGGGTACTGCCAGCCATAGGAGAGCTGGGGCTGCAGGCTCACTGAGTGCAGGAGTTGGGAGCAGGTCTGAGAGGTCAGGCTGGGGAGGCACACTGGGGTGGAGGGATCTGGGAATCGGCTCTGGTCCTTGGCTCTGTTCCCCCAGGTCTCATCTGAAGAGGCGTCAACAAGACTGCTGAGAGCAGGGGCCCATCCTGAATGAGAAGTGCCAGGATGCAGAGGGGAAGTGGTCCCCTTTGCAGATGGCAGAGGGGCAACACTGAGCACACCGGAGGCTGCATGAAGACCCTGTATGCCCCACACGCACAGGCAGGTCCTCTCCTGCTTGGCCCCGCTATGGTCTGTGAGGTGAGAGGGTCAGGATTTCAGGGCAGGGCCTCTGAGCCTCAGCCTTGGCTCTCCAGGACTCCGGCGCCTCCTCATTTGCCAGCTTTTTGCCCTCCAACACCTTCTGATGGGTTGGTTTAAATCAATAATGGTCCGCATTGTTCAACTACTTTCTGTTAAGCACATGTCAGGCCCTTTGCTGCTGATGAGGATAGGCAGAGCCAACACTGGCTGTTCCCCAAAGGTCAGTCTGGTGAGGGCTGGTGCTGGAGTGCTGCAAGCCTTGACAGAGGGTGGAGGGGCCCAGGGAGCAAGGGATGGTGTGGGCTGCTTTCTCCTTGTGGCTCAAGGGAAGACTTTAAGCGATACATAAATGGCCTTTTTTTTTTAAAGAGAGGAAGTTTTGCCATGTTGCCCTGGCAGGTCTTGAACTTCTGGGCTCAAGCCATCCTCCCACCTTGGCCTTCCCAAGCGCTGGGACTAAAGGCATGAGTCACTGCACTTGGCCTGTCAGAATCCTTTTTGATAAGGTGTCTTGAGACTGGAAGGAAATGCTAAAGCCTGCACAGGGGTCCCAGGGAAGTGGATTTCAGGCCAGGAACCACAGGCACGAAGGCCGAGGCAGGATGTGCTTGGCATGTTCAAGAACTTCAGGGACAGAAGCAGGATGGCAGAGAATGGTGAGAGAAGAGGCCAGGGCAGGCAAGAGGCCTTTAGGATTTTGGCTTTTACTGAGGGATATGGAAGCCACTGGAAGGTCTGAGTGAGCTCGGAATGGCCTGGGCCTGACCCCTTACAGGGACTGCTTGGCTGTGGGGACACTGGCAGGCAGCGTTGTCATCTCCTCCCATGGTGGACCACCCTTGATCTAGCCACAGAGAAGAGACATGATGGGGAATCACTCTCCATGTCAGGTTTTAAGGGAACACTGTGGCTTCCATCTGGCTGAGGCTCGCAGATCACCGCTCTGGGGAAGCCAGCTACCATGCTGAGAGCTACTCTGTGGAACAGGCCATGTGGTGTGGAACTGAGGCCTTCTGCCAATAACCATGCGAGTGAGCCTGGAAGAAAATCTTCGCCCAGTCCAGCCTTCAGATTCGGCAGCCTTAGGTGGCATCTTGGCCACAACTTCATGAGACTCCGAGTCAGAACCAGCTGAGCTGCTCAAAGATTCCTGACCTTCAGGAGTCGTGTGAGGTCGCTTTAGCTGCAACTTGCTACACAGCAGTAACTAACAGCACGATGGCTTAGGCCAGGCGGTAACAGTTAAATTGTGCATACATCTTAAAGACCAGAACTTTGATTTCTCATCACTATAAGTCCATTGCGCTATGGAACCGCCTCAGAATTTTGGTTTTTAGGCATTTGGTGAGAGGAAGGAGGGGACTGGCAGTGGATGTGGGGAAAACAGTAGGGAGGGTGTGGGGTGGGTGCTGGCGAGTATAGAGGGCAAAAGCAGTTTGGACAGGTCAAGTCTGAGAGACTCATTAGACATCCAAGTGGAGCGTAATAGAGCAGCCAGTTATAAAAGCCAGGCTCTAGGGTGAAGTCGGCATTTGGATGTCTTCACAGCCAGGAGTCTGGCTGAGCTCAGGAGGGAGGGCACAGACACCACCTCTCAGACCCAGGAAAGGAGATGGAGCCCCAGTAAGGAAGGTAGAACCTGAGCGGGGCTCTCGGAAGCCGACTGAATAGTAGTTCTCCTCCTCCCTGGGTCGCTTGCATGGTGAGATCTCAGAAGAGTAGGTGGCTGGCAGCGTGGAAGGCAGTCACCTTGATGAGGGGAGGTGGAGGGAGCAATGGCAGAGGGGATGGAAGTGAGGAAGGAGATAAACTCACAACAGCAATCTTTAGGGAACCTTTTTTAGGATGGGGATGCCAGCTGGAAAGGATCATGGGTAAGGAGGTTTTCATCTCAAAGACCGCTATCATTACAGCCTGGTGTGTGCTGACAGGAAGGACACAGGAGAGGGGATATCTATAATGAAGACAGGGACGCCCCTGAAGTTGTGACTTGAACCTTGAGGAATGGACATGTGAATTCCCAAGGTGGGGGTGCAGGGTGTGGCATTCAATAGGGCAGGGGCATGGCCCACCTCCATGGGCTGGCACAAGCCACGCAGCCTACAGCCACGGTCACAGTCTCCCTCCCCGGGGAACACCATCCTGGGAGACAGGGACACTCGGAGGGCCCAGAGCACCACAGATGCTATGGGCAAATCCATGGCTTGAAGGCAGAGAAGACAACTTTAGCCTCTTAGATGTCATGGTTTCATAGTGGACTTTATTGGGAAAAGTTAGTGTAAAAAACATTCAAATTCATAAAATTTAAATAGTAAATTATGCCTTGTAGTTAAAGTAATCACTCTAGTAATCACAAATGAGGTAAAGTCTAACTTACTGCCTAAGCAAACACTATTTTATCAGGCTTTTCTGCTGCAAGCCCAAGGCAGCAAACATTCCAATTATTAGAAGTGAGCCTGATGATGAATTTGCATTTGAAGCTGGAAGAAAGGGGAAAAAGGTGTGTTCTGAGTATGGCATCACGACACTCTAGCCTGCAAAAAAGCAACTTTATTAATGTCCTGCAGCAGCATACATTAGTAATTGTAACCATGCATTTAAAATTCTCATTTCATGTCATAAAGAGAGTAATCAGTTTTTTTCATGGTACATTATGTTTTACCAAGTTTGTCCCTCTAAAGACCTTTCTGAGAAGATTCATTCTCCACGGACTGCTTCCTAAGATGCCCAGGTTGCTTACCAAAGGTCATCTTTGGTCATTTAAAAGCAGTCAAGCTGTCTCGACTGCACCCTCTTAACTGAGGTTGAGCCAGAAAATTCCCTTCTCAAACCCTAATGCCGCCACCAAGAGAATGGGCATCAGGGCTTGGTCAGAGCATTACTAACAACTTCATGTGGGATTCTCTTTGGTTATGGAATTCTTTTATTTAAGTGATAAAAAATATATAGCTAAATGCATTCTAAAAGCATTTTTAATCAACTTAAACATAAGTATGTCCTTGGAAAATTCACCACCTGGACTGGTTCACCGTCTGCCCCTTTCCCTGTGGAATCTAACATCAGTGTTGTATTCATCAAATTCATGTGAGTGACGAACAGTGACTTATCTTCAGGAGCACCAAGGGGTGGGGCAGACCTAGATGCTGTCCATGGCTTTGAACTCACTGAGGGCCTGCACTGGGTTCACGTGCTTCTTTTGAGATGCCCGTTTAATCTTGGTTTGTGTCTCATCCTGTTTCTCTCTCTTCACCAAGGGCTTTTTCTCTGGTGCCTTCATCTTCCATGACACAGCAGGAAGGTTGAGGGAAGCCATACCCTGCGACTTTTGGTATTTGGTAGAGGCGACGTAAGATGCCTTCACGGTCTGGACCACGGCATTCATCAAGTTCTTGGCTGCCTGGATCAGGGACATGGCGCTGTCCACCTACGAGACAGATGGGTGGTGAGGAGCACAGGCCTGACCTCTAGCCCATGGACAGAGGTGGGCCGTGTCTGAAGGGGAGCCCCCCTCCTCAGCAAGACCAGGGCCTGGGTGGGTCGCAGAGAACTACACCCTCAATGGCTGCTCTTGTCTAAACAGCCTGGAAGCGCCTGCCCTCGGACCCGTAAGACATTTATGGTGAATGTCCCTGTCTCTAGGGAACGGGGCTCCAGTTGGTTGACCCCAAGCAGATGATTCAATGGGATTAAAAGCCATGGGGGCTTGGTGGACCCTAGTATACTCAGCAAACTACTTCTTTCCCCTGCCCGTGGTGAGAAAGGCCCCAGAACTGTGACCTGGTAAAATGAGAAAGGGAGGATGCTTTCTCAAAAGCCCTTCACCTCAAGCACTCTAACGGGCTTCTGAGAAAGCATCCTGTCTGTGTCTATTCTTAATTCCTCTCTGGGGGAAGAAAAGGAAGGTTTTTTTTTTCTGTTTTGTTTTGTTTTGAGACAGAGTCTTTGTCAAACCAGGCTGGAGCTCAGTGGTACAATCTCGGTTCACTTCGCCTCCTAGGATCAAGCAATTCTTGTGCCTCAGCCTCCTGAGTGGTTGGAACTACAGGCACCTGCCACCAAACCTGGCTAATTTTTGTATTTTTAGTAGAGACGGGGTTTTGCCAGGTTGGCCAGGCTGGTCTCGGACTCCTGACCTCAACGGATCCACCTGCCTTAGCCTCCCGAAGTGCTGCGATTACAGGTGTGAGCCACTGTGCCCGGCCCCAAAGGAAGATTAAAAAAAAATTATTTGCCAGTGAGTGGCCAGCAAAGGGGAGGGAGCCAGCCTTTCAGCCCTTGCAATGATCACAGTTCTACAGGGAGCAGATGGACACACCTTGGCCTCCGGAGACTGGGACGGTACTTGGCGTTTCTGCACAGTGCACTTTCCCAGTGCAGGGCACATGTGCATGTGGACAGGAGGTGACTTTCATTTCTGACAAGGGTCAGCATGCTCCGCTGACCCTCTTTTTTCCCAGCTAATGCTTACCCCAGAGACAACAAGCTCCCCGCCGAGATTCTGCACCTCAGCCTTGACCTTGCTGCAGATGTTGAGCTGGTGGCAGTAGAGGGCGATGCGTTGCAGGTAGGCCAGCAGGTCCTGCTTGCAGGCCGAGTCGGGGCACTGAAGGGAGAGCAGACTTAGCACTGAGCACCCTGGCCTGGCTGAAGCACCCCCCATCCCACGGCTGTTTCTGAGAGGTTCATTGTGGCACTTACATGTTTCCTCTGCTCTTGCTGGAGCAAAATTACCCAAGGCAGTCACAGCCCTTGCCTATACCACATGGCAATGGTTATACAGCCAAGGCCTTCTGAGCCTCCCTTCAACTTCCCTCCTATTATGGCCGGGAAACCACCTCAGCCAAGGATCCCCTTACCCTGCACAGCAGTGTGGAGGCCCACGCCCCTCCGGAGCTAAGTAAACAAGTAACTCTTCTGCTCTGAGGCATTTGCATCATTAATGCCTGATGACAGAAGCCACTCAAGTGTAGGCGGAGGTGGAGGACAAGTGAGTAAAGCAAAGCGAAAAAAAAAAAAGTCAGGGATGGTGAAGTCCTGACTGGTCAAAGAGAAAAGGGTGGCCCCTGCCCAGCTCCTGTCCTGATTTAGGGACTCCTGGATCAGGACTGGCCTAGAAGGCTTTACCCAAAGGGAGAAACACAGAGCAGCTCTCAAATGTTTATAGCAAACATTTTCTTCCAGTGAGGCTGTGGCAAAATGTACCACAGAGAGTGGTATGAACTGAGACCTCGCAGGCCATGCTGGAGATGGGCTGTATTCTGGGCAGTCAGGAAGCACGGCAGAGCCATAGGATTTGCATTTTCAGATGACAGTATTGGCAGCTGAATGCAGAAGGAAGTTGAGAGAGGAAAGAATAGGAAATCAGGAGCGGCCACAGTAGTCCAAGCAAGTGGCTATGAAGATCTGCAAACAGGACAAGACTGGTTTATGTCAAGATACATTTGGCCAATGGAAGCAACATGCCTTATTACCAATTGTGTGTGTGAGTCAAGGATGCATGTCTCACACATCCTGTGGCCTAGATGAGGCTGAGAGTTTAGGTCTTTCAGGGAAAATGGTGAGGGGTTTATTAACTACAGAGAAGAACTGTAATTGAGAAAGAGCTTCTCTTGATCAGGCTTAAAACACTAAAGGAGGATGAATTTAGAAGATGGCAGTTTAGGAGCAACTCAGGATTGCAGCTCCCAGTGAAAGCGCAGAGGGTGAGTGGATGCTGCTTTTCCAGACGGATCTTTATTGCCCACAGACCAGGAGATTCCCAGGCGGAGGAGCCCCACAGGTCGCCAGCACGGCTATCTTGGCTGGCGCAGCTATTTTGCCAGCGCCCCGGCATGGCAGCTCTCCTTACAAAATACACTGGTCTGGTTGCCTTTTTAAGCTGGCTATTGGAGCTCCAGGAAGGCAGAGTCGCCCATTCATCTAATTAAACGGGACAGAAACAGGGAGCCAGGCCAGGGGATTCCGGGGCAGCGCCGTTGTTTCAGCCGGCGCAGTGGGTCGCCGCACGGGAAATCACACAGATGCGCCTTGTCAGCAGGTGACTGGAACACCTGGGAGAGTCAACTGTTCAACTTTAAAAAAAAAAAAAAGGCTCTGAGGCAGGGAGCCAAGTGATCAGGCTCAGCGGATCCCACCCCCACACACAAAAAAGAAACAAACAGCAATTGGAAACGCCCTGGGTTGAGAGTTTCACAGCAAGCACAGCTGAACCCCAGACGGTCCAGCTCTGTGGGGGAGGGGTGTCCACCATTACCGAGGCATTCCACCCCTATGGAGGTAGTCTGCCATTGCTGAGGCAACCTGCCACTACAGAGAGAGTACGCCATTACAGAGGTGGGCCACCATTGCCAAGGCAGTTCTAACCACACCCATATAAACAGGACTGCAGGGGAGTTCACACTGCAGCAGGGCAGAGCCCACAGCAGCTCAGCAAAGCCTCTGCAGGCAGACAGTGACTAGGCTGCCTCCTTGCTGGGCAGGGCAGCCCTGAAAAAAAAAAGGCAGCAGCACAACGGAAACTCATAAATAAAGCCCTAACTCCCCAGGACAGAGCATCTGGGGGAATAAAGGGGGGGGGTTATGAGTTCTGCTGCAGCGGACTTAAACGTATCTGTCCAGCAGCTCTGAACAACAGAGCTCACAGCTCAGCACTTGAGATCCTATAAAGGACAGACTGTCTCCTCAAGCAGCTCCCTGACCTCCATATATCCAAAGAGTCACCTCACAAAGGACTGATCAGACTGACATTTGGCGGGCATCATTCTGGGACAAAGATAGCAGAAGAAGAAACTGGCAGCAACCCTTACTGTTCTGCAGCTGCTGCAGGTGATCCCCAAGCAAGCAAGGGCCTGGAATGGACCTCAGTAGTCCTACAGCAGAGGGGCCAGACTGTTAGAAGGAAAAGTAAGAAACAGAAATAACTTCATCATCAACTGGACGTCCACTCAGAGACCCAATCTGAAAATCAGCAACCACAAAGACGACAGGTGGATAAATCCACAAAGATGGGAAGAAACCAGCACAAAAAGGAGGAAAACACCCGAAACCAGAACATCTCTCCTCCTACAAGGGATCACAATTCCTCACCAGCAAGGGAACAAAGCTGGATGAACAATGAGTGTGATGAAATGACAGAATCAGACTTCAGAAGGTGGGTAATGAGAAACTTCTGTGAGTTAAAAGAACATGTTCTAACCCAATGCAAAGAAACTAAGAACCTTGGAAAAAGATTTGATGAAATGCTAACGAGAATGGACAACTTAGAGAGGAATATAAGTGAATTGATGAAGCTGAAAAACACAACACGAGAACTTTGCGAAGCATGCACAAGTTTCAACAGTCGAACTGACCAAGCAGAAGAAAGGATATCAGAGGTCGTGGATCAACTCAATGAAACAAAACGAGAAGGCAAGATTAGAGAAAAAAGCATAAAAAGGAATGAACAAAGTCTCCAAGAAATATGGGCCTATGTGAAAAGACCTAATCTACATTTGATAGGTGTACCTGAATGTGACGAAGAGAATGAATCCAAGCTGGAAAATATTCTTCAGGATATCCAGGAAAATTTCCCCAACCTATCAAGACAGGCCAATATTCAAGTCCAGGAAATACAGAAACCACCACAAAGATATTCCTCAAGAAGAGCAACCCCAAGGCACATAATCATTAGATTCACCAGGATTGAAATGAAGGAGGAAATGGTAAGGGCAGCCAGAAAGAAAGGTCGGGTTACCCACAAAGGGAAGCCCATCAGACTCACAGCAGATCTCTCGACAGAAACCCTACAAGTCAGGAGAGAGTGGGGGCCGATATTCAACATCCTTAAAGAAAATAACTTTCAACCCAAAATTTCATATCCAGCCAAACTAAGCTTTATAAGTGAAAGAAAAATAAAATCCTTTGCCAACAAGCAAGTACTCAGAGATTTTGTCACCACCAGGCCTGCTTTATAAGAGATCCTGAAAGAGGCAATACACATAGAAAGGAACAACCAGTACCAGCCACTCTAAAAACATACCAAATGGTAAAGAGCATCAACTAATAGGCAAAACAGCCAGCTAGCATAAAAATGGCAGTATCAAATTCACACATAACAATATTAACCTAAATGTAAATGGCCTAAATGCTCCAATCAAAAGACACAGACTGGCAAATTGGATAAAAAAACAAAACCCATCAGTGTGCTGTATTCAGGAAACCCATCTCACATGCAAGGATACACAAAGCCTCCAAATAAAGGGATGGAGGAAGATTTACCAAGCAAATGGAGAGCAAAAAAAAAGCAGGAGTTGCAATTCTCGTCTCTGATAAAATAGAATTTAAAGCAACAAAGATCAAAAGAGACAAAGAAGGACATTACATAATGGTAAAAGGATCGATACAACAAGAAGAGCTAATGATCCTAAATATATATGCACCTAATACAGGAGCACCCAGATACATAAGGCAAGTTCTTAATGACTTACAAAGAGACTTAGACTCCCACACAATAATAGTGGGAGACTTTAACACCCCATTGTCAATATTAGACAGATCAACCAGACAGAAAATCAACAAGGATATCCAGGACTTGAACTCAGACTTGGAACAAGCAAACCTAATAGACATTTATAGAACTCTCCATCCCAAATCCACAGAATATACATTCTTCTCAGCACCACATCACACCTTACTCTAAAACTGACCACATAATTGGAAGTAAATCACTCCTCACCAAATACAAAAGGACAGAAATCATAACAAACAGTCTCTCAGACCACAGTGCAATCAAGTTAGAATTCAGAACCACACAGCTTCATGGAAACTGAACAACTGGCTCTTGAATGTTGACTGGATAAACAATGAAATGAAGGCAGAAATAAAGATGTTCTTCGAAACCAATGAGAACGAAGACACAACATACCAGAATCTCTGGGACACATTTAAAGCAGTCTCTAGAGGAAAATATATAGCAATAAGTGCCCACATTAGAAGCAAGGAGAGATCCAAAATTGACACCATATCGTCAAAATTGAAAGAGCCAGAGAAGATCAAAAACCTCAAAACCTAGCAGAAGACAAGAAATAACTAAGATCAGAGCAGAACTGAAGGAGACAGAGAAACAAAAAACCCTTAAAAAAAATCAGTAAATCCAGGAGCTGGTTTTTCAAAAAGATCAACAAAATATAGACAGACCACTAGCCAGATTAATAAAAGAAAAGAGAATAACCAAATAGATGCAATAAAAAATGATAAAGGGGATATCACCACAGATTCCACAGAAATTCAAACCATCATCAGCGATTATTACAAACAACTCTATGCACATAAACTAGTAAACCTGGAAGAAATGGATAAATTCATGGACAATTGCAGCCTCCCAAGCCTAACCCAGGAAGAAGTCAAAACCCTGAATAGACCAATAACAAGGTCTGAAGTTGAGGCAGCAATTAAGAGCCTACCACACAAAAAAAGCCCAGGTTCAGATGGGTTTATAGCCGAATTCTACCAGACACACAAAGAGGAGCTGGTACCATTCCTTCTGAAACTATTCCAAATAATCCAAAAAGAGGGAATCCTTCCCAAATCATTTTATGAGACCAACATCATCCTGATACCAAAACCTGGCAGAGACTCAACAAGAAAAGAAAACTTCAGGCCAATATCCATGATGAACATAGATGCAAAAATCTTCAATAAAATACTGGCAAGCCGATTGCAACAGCACATCAAAAAGCTTATCCACCATGATCAAGTAGGATTCATCCCGGGGATGCAAGGCTGGTTCAACATACGCAAGTCTATAAACATAATTCATCACATAAACAGAACCAAAGACAAAAACCACATGATTATCTCAACTGATGCAGAGAAGGCCTTTGACAAAATTCAACAGCCCTTTATGCTAAAAACCCTCAATAAACTAGGTATTGATGGAACGTATCTCAAAACAATGAAAGCTATTTACGACAAACCAGCAGCCAATATCATACTGAATGGGCAAAAACTGGAAGCATTCCCTTTGAAATCTGGCACTAGACAAGGATGCCCTCTCTCACCACTCCTATTCAATATAGTACTGGAAGTTCTAGCCAGAGCAGTCAGACAAGAAAAAGAAATAGAGTATTCAAATAGGAAAGGAGGAAGCCAAATTGTCTCTATTTGCAGATGACATGATTGTATATCTGGAAGACCCCATCGTCTCAGCCCAAAATCTCCTGAAACTGATAAGCAACTTCAGCAAAGTCTCAGGATACAAAATCAATGTGCAAAAATCACAAGCATCCCTATATACCAGTAACAGACTTAAAGAGAGCCAAATCAAGAATGAACTACCATTCACAATTGCTACAAAGAAAATAAAATACCTAGGAATACAACTAACAAGGAACGTAAAGGACCTCTTCAAGGAGAACTACAAACCACTGCTCAACAAAATAAGAGAGGACACAAACAGATGGAGAAACATTCCACGTTCATGGTTAGGAAGAATCAGTATCGTGAAAATGGCCATACTGCCCAAAGTAATTTATACATTCAACACTATCCCCATCAAGCTACCAATGACCTTCTTAACAGAACTGGAAAAAACTACCTTAAACTTCATATGGAACCAAAAGAGAGCCCGCATAGCCAAGTCAATTCGAAGCAAAAAGAACACAGCAGGAGGCATCACACTACTGGACTTCAAACTATACTACAAGACTACAGTAATCAAAACAGCATGGTACTGGTACCAAAACAGAGATATAGACCAATGGAACAGAACAGAGGCCTTGGAGTCAACACAACATATCTACAATCATACAATCTTTGATAAACCTGACAAAAACAAGCAATGGGGAAAGGATTCCCTGTTTAATAAATGGTGTTGGGAAAACTGGCTAGCTATGTGCAGAAAGCAGAAACTGGACCCCTTCCTGACACCTTACACTAAAATTAACTCCAGATGAATTAAAGACTTAAACATAAGACCTAACACCATAAAAACCCTAGAAGAAAATCTAGGCAAAACCATTCAGGACATAGGAGTAGGCAAGGACTTCATGACCAAAACACCAAAAGCATTGGCAACAGAAGCCAAAATAGACAAATGGGACCTAATCAAACTCCTCAGCTTCTGTACGGCAAAAGAAACAGTCATTAGAGTGAATTGGCAACCAACAGAATGGGAAAACATTTTTGCAGTTTACCCATCTGACAAAGGGCTGATATCCAGAATTTACAAAGAACTCAAACAGATTTACAAGAACAAAACAAGCCCATTTAAAAGTGGGCAAAGGATATGAACAGACACTTTACAAAAGAAGACATACATGAGGCCAACAAACATGAAAAAATGCTCATCGTCACTGGTCATTAGAGAGATGCAAATCAAAAGTACATTGAGATACCATCTCACGCCAGTTAGAATGGCGATCATTAAAAAATCTGGAGACAACAGATGCTGGAGAGGATGTGGAGAAATAGGAACACTTTTACACTGCTGGTGGGAGTGTAAATTAGTTCAACCATTGTGGAAGACAGTGTGGTGATTCCTCAAGGACCTAGAAATAGAAATTCCATTTGACCCAGCAATCCCATTACTGGGTATATATCCAAAGGATTATAAATCATTCTACTATAAGGACATATGCACACAAATGTTCATTGCAGCACTGTTTACAATAGCAAAGACCTGGAACCAACCCAAATGCCCATCGGTGACAGACTGGACAGGGAAAATGTGGCCCATATACACTATGGAATACTATGCAGCCATCAAAAACGATGAGCTCATGTCCTTTGTAGGGACATGGATGAACCTGGAGACCATCATTCTCAGCAAACTGACACAAGAACAGAAAATGATATAGGCACATGTTCTCACTCATAGGTGGGTGTTGAACAATGAGAACACATGGACACAGGGAGGGGAGCACTACACACTAGGGTCTGTTGGGGGGAATAGGGGAGGGACAGTGGGGGGTGGGGAGTTGGGGAGAGATGGCACGGGGAGAAATGCCAGCTATAGGTGAAGGGGAGGAAGGCAGCAAATCACACTGCCACATGTGTACCTATGGAACTATCTTACATGTTCTTCACATATACCTCAAAACCTAAAATGCAATTAAAAAAAAAGGGAAAAATAATAATTTAAAATACATCATAATATATGAAATAAGCCATAAATTTATAAATATATTTTAATGTATAATCAATAAATGATTCATATTAAAAAAAAAAACAAACCACCAAAGGAAATGTACTATATGATTTCCAGGTGGTAGGAACCATATTTTTGTACCTATCAGTGTGAGGGAATAGGAGGATGAAGGCTGGGTTACTGAAAACCACAGTGCTGAGGATGAAGAAACCTGTCCCCATCACTTCCGGCTGCTCTTGGCCCCTGTCCAGAGGGGAAGAGATAGAGCTGACACATAATGGACAGTAGCAGAAGTTATTTTTGGCTACCAAGTGATGGAAGATTCCAGGACATAGAAATCTACTCTAGAGAATCCTTACAAACTATGCTGGGAATGATAACCATTTTTAGAGATGAGTGGCAAAAGTGCTGGGGCCCATTAAACTTACCCCGAATGGACCAGGCTGGGCTGCCTGAGCCCCAGGTAGAGCTTAGAGACCCACCTGGCAGGCCTGTCACTTACGTGGTCTGCAATGGTGCGGCCAAGCTTGTCCATCCTGGATCCTGCCTCAGCAATTTTCTTGGCAGCACTGATGACATCTGATGTATTTTTGAGTGGTCCTTTACCTCTGAGAAGAGAGAACAAGGATCATTGTCTATGAAGCCCCTCACAGTTGGAGATGAGTAGAAAACAGATGATGTCCACAAAGCCCCATGGCCTGGGCTGCCTGTGTGAAACGCAGGTGACCTGTGGGGAATAAAGCTGCCTGTGTGCAGCCTGTGGGGGCCAGAGGCTGCTTACCGGGTAAAGTCAGTCATCTCCATCATAATCATGCACATCTGCTTGGCCAGCACAATGATGTCATTGCCACTGTCATCCCATTTGGACACTTCAGCATCCAGCTTGCTCTTTTCTTCCTGGAAGCTGGCCACCTGTTCTGCAATCTTCGCTTTCTGCTCCTGGGGAAGCTGAGCCATGATCGCCTGTGATCAGAAGCACAAGGAGCTCTTACATAAAGAGAATATAAAGTTCTCAGAGTGCATTAGCCAAGAAAATTTCCAACAGGCAATCTATGACATAGGTAGGATAATGCTTTAATAGGTTTCATTTTACCTGAAGGGCTATTTCTTCTCATTTTTTGCAGAAACTTATGGCAGCCTGAATTTCTGACCCACTTTTGAGCATAAGTTTTAGTATGGAAGGAAAGAGTGTGAGGTGTGAGGGGTGGAAGGCTAATCTGGAAGCTTTGGAATCATACCTGTGCAGGGATGGAATCTGCTTAATTCTTTAATATAAGACAAAACGTGAGAGAAGAGACTGATAAGTGTGGAGCCCTTTCCATGGTGAGCTCTGATGGACATTTCCAACTATTCAAGGTGAGCTAAAAGGGGCTTTAGAACGTATATCTGAGGAAAGAGGGCTGAGGAACATATATCTGAGCGACCTGCTGGCACTCAGACCATATTCAAGCAGCACCTGAAGGCCTGCTGCCCACCTCCAGCCCACAGACCTGCAGCTGGAGCTCCTCCCCATCAGCTTCCCAAAGTGCTCATGGCTGAGCAGGACATAAGGCAGGCATGTGCTTGCTGTTCACAACAGGTTTCCAAGGAGTGAAATAAAAGACTCCTTAGAAATATTTCTTGGCATCTTCCCAAAAACATAAATGCTATTGATTAAAGAGTTAATGATGCAAATAAATGCAATGGCTCTGACTGGCTGCCTTGAATGTACCACTGTTATTTTTTAAACCCATTAATAATTAAATAGTTCATACTCATGGTATCATTGAGATGGGCAAAGGCAGCAATCTTTTTCAAATTTCACCATCCTTTCAACACTCATGGCACTGAGTAACTCTTAGCCCTTTCCTGACCCAGGGCTCTGCAGAGGAGGGCCAGGACCTGCTCTGCCTCTAGCTGAGGAGGCTATTTTGTTGAAACCTACAAGTGACTATCAAGTACCACAACTTAGTTTAACTTCAGTTCTACTGCCAGAGAAAGAGTGAAATTGTGTTTAAATACTGAGAGTGTTTTCCTGGAAACAAGAAAAGGGACAGGGAAGTTCGGCAGTGCAAGCTGAACAGCCCCATAGAGCGCTGCCTTACCCGGGCACTCTGGCCAGCTATCAGCTGATCGTCTTCTGTCTGGACACTCGTCCTACTTCTGACATCGAAATCTTCCGTCTCAAAGTCAGAGTCATCCAACTCCTCAGGGGTCTGCCACCAAGACAGAGATCATAAGTGAGACACATCTCTGGGCCACCAGCCTGCAGCCATCCTGAATCTCTTTGGCCAGGTGCATGGAGCCCAGAATTCTGAATTTTAATATATAGTGTTCTGAACAGTATGGTGAATGAAGTTAAAATCATGCAGTATTTGTCTTGGGCCTCTGCTTCACTGGTGCACATGCTGGGCTGCCTGGCTCACAGCAGGCCTGGGCACCACACGAGCATTTTCCCAAGAGCCTGGGCTGGTTTTCTGTGTGTGGGGCCCATTTGCCATCACTAATTCAACTCATTATTTCTGTTTTTGTCGTTGTTAATTTTTATTAACTCACTATTTCTTTGTAAGACATAAGGTTTTTTTTTTTTAACTTTGAGATACAGTCTCACTCTGTCACACAGGCTGGCATGCAGTGGCCTCATCTTGAAATTACTGCAACCTCCGCCTCCTGGGTTCCAGAGATTCTCGTGCCTCAGCTTCCCAAGTAGCTGGGATTACAGGCATGCACCACCACCACCAGCTAATTTTTGTATTTTTATTAGAGACGGGGGTTTCACCATGTTGACCAGGCTTGTCCTGAACTCCAGACCTCAGGTGATCCGCCCACCCCAGCTTCAGAGCCATCGTGCCCGGTGACAAGGTTTTTACTTCCTAATTTACTTCCCCAACACCTGCATTTTAAGACAAAGATGAGAACTGTCCTGGGTAGAAAAGGTACTGACTTAAAAATAGAGGTGTTTAGTATAGCATTAAGCAGGTTTCCATAACTTTCCTACTTTATGCAAAAAGAAAATTAAATTAATTAATACTAGGCCTTCTGTTAGGGTACCAAGGCTGCTTGGAGGAGTAAAAATAGGCAATGTATTTTAAAGTATTCTTTTACTTTCATCAAAAGAAACAAGGGGAGAATATGGCAGGTAAGGGCTGGGTAAATACCTAAGGGAGTGATCACTGGTCCTAGCTCGTTAATTACAAAATAAAATTCTTACTTTGTACAAACTACCAGCCTCTCTTGATTAGCTACTGACTTGAAACACAATGTTGTCCTCTGGCAGTTATCAGTAAGGGGGCAGCAGGCACAACAGCTGGGGTTGGCATTCAGCCCAGCTGGCTGGCCTGTGACAGGAGGGCAGTGAGGCGAGTCCCTCATCTGCACCAGGACCTAGTCCAAACCCAGCCCAAGGACTTGCTGTGAGGTTCAAACAAGAAGACACGCGAAAAGCACTCTGGAGCTACCAAGAGCATGTTGCGCAAAGGCTGGGCCTGTCCCTTGATGAGATGAGGTGAGAACAGTGGACGGTCACAGAGGGAACCAGAGAGCACATCAGCAGGAGGAGGTCCTGAAGGCCCGTGGACTTGGTGGCACAAAACACAATGCCAGCACTGACAGTTTTAACGCTGCCATCACACATGCCTTCAGGATTGGTATGTGATCAATCTGTTAAGCGGCTTTTTGAAGGAGCACCTCCTGACATCTTTGCCTCCCCAGCACCCCACTGCGGACCAAAGAACCTTTGTTGCAAAGAAAACCAAGTCACTCTCATTCATTATCTCTGTGCCAAGCACTGTTCTGGGCCCTCGAGATACAAAGTGACAGACAAAAATTCCTCTCACGCATATTTTAATGGAGGAAATGACAACAAAGTAAGCAAATGAATTAATTATATGACACATTAAAAGTGACCAGTGCTATAAAGAAACCAGTGATGGATAACGAGGGATTTTAATTCCATACGGGTATTTGCAAAAGTCTCACGAGAAGGTGTTCTCGGGGTGGGGGGGGTGGGTGGCAGCATGGAGGCTGCAGGGGAGGGTGATGACCCAGGGAACTCTGTGAATAGCAAGGAAGCCACAGAAGGGGGGCTTAGCTCACTGCCTCCATGTCACCGGCGTGCCTGGAACTGCAGAAGTACAAGGGGAGATGAGCAGGAGATGAGATTGGAGAGGTGCTGGGTTCCTAGAAGGCTTTGTAGGCCAGTGTAAGAAGTGAGTGATGCAGAGGCCTGTGGAGAGGCTGGCACAGAGAATAACATGATCCAACTGAAGCTTAGAGAAATCGCTCTGGCTGCCCTGTGGCTCATGGGATTGCAGGCAACCAGGATGGGAACAGGGAACTGCCTGAATGGCACCTGCATGAACCCAGGTGAGAGGTGCTGGTGGCTTGGACGAAGGTGGGAGCATGTTTAGGTTCTCTACTTTGAAGGGAGAGCCAAAAGAATTCACAGATAAAGCAGATGTGAGGTATCGGACAAAAGGGAAATCAAAAAAGATCCAAGGTCAGGGCCTGAGCAAGGGAAGCCGGAGTTGCTATCAAGTATGTGCTGCCTGGGTGCAGCGAGGGGGAGGCCAGGTGCGCAGGCAAGTGTGGAACTTAGGAGAGTCAGCCTCTAGACAGGACTCTGAAGAGGTCAAGGACTTCCCAGCAGGCCACGCCAATGTTTCACAGGCTGAACAGATGGAAGAAACCAGCCAACGAGACTGACAAGAAGTTTGGGTCAAGAGATTTTTTTTTCCCCCTGAAAAATGGGAGAAATCATCTTAGGCTTGGGGAAAGGTACAGGAAGCAAGGAGTGAAGAAGCACCCCACTACAAGGGATGGCCTTGGCCAGAAGCACCGACAGGGATGCTCACGGTCCTAGGAGGAAGGCAGAGCACACGGGCATGGATACAGCAAGGTAGACGCCTTAACTGTCTCAATATCCTCAATGAAATCGGCAAGAGGCCAAATAGGACGGGGGCATAGGTGTTGGGTGGGTGGGCACCTGTTGCGGGCAGCAAGGGCCCACAAATGGCCATGGCTCCTGCGGCTCCGTCGCAGCATCTGCACTCTGCTCATAGAGCAGGATCTTGCTAGAACTGCAGCTGCTAAGGCAAGTGTAAGGAAACAGCAGGGCAGAGGAGTGAGTATATTCAACTATGGACTCAAAGCTTAAAAAAAGGACACAACCAAGGACAGGGGCTGAGTGAGTGACATGGGGAGGACAACCTGACTGAAGACCACAGTGGACTGGGAGTTGCAGTGTAAGCTTAACAATAAAACTGGGCGCCTGGGGATGACAAAGACAATGGCAGGCAGTGACGAAAACTAAGGTACGGCCACGGTCATGAGGCTGAGGTGGAAGAGGACAAGATATCAAGAAACTGAGAGGCCCAGGGGCTGGAAGGATGATTCTTGAATGAAGACAGGAAAGTGTCAGAGAGCAGGACGGTAAGCCAGGAGCTCAACCAGATGCTGCAAAGGCCCCTTTCTCCTCTGCCTGTGCTACAGGCCCTCCAGGTGCACTGGCGATGGGGAAAGGGACTCAGCACTTGGCCATGAGCCTGGGAGCATCACCTGGGGCTGCCACAGCCGTTAATCCTCCCCCAGCACGCCTGGGTTCCAACATCCCCCTCCCAGGAGAGGGGCACTCATGGAAAATAACTTGAATCTGCATACGAAAATACTTCCTTCTCTGATACTAGTTTGAGAGCCATTATTTTCTATAATTTCCTGCCTACCTCAAACTGAAGCCTCATGTTGTAGAGACCGTTTATCCTAAATTAAATCGTCAGCTCAGGCTAGCTCCCCTTCTTGGTCCAAGTTTGGGCAATAACTTGCAACTAAGTCATTTTAGACAACATAATTAAATATATCTCATTCTAACAGCTTTTAGATTCATGGTTTTAATATACTGCCATGGCATCTGCCGAGTTCTAGAATGACGCATTGCTCAAGTTTAGCAAATGATAAGAAAGAAGCTGTTAAGACGTCTGAAATGCAGTTACTCACCCTTATCATCAGCACTGCTTTCCTGATGTCCCGGATGCCATCATATACCAGGCGGGAGGCATCGATAAACTCATTCTCATCCATGGGCTGGGCAGGGTCCGTGCTGAGGGCTTCCACGGCCGCTTCTACTTGCTCAGTAAAACGTGGCATGACTATGGAGAAAGAGGCACAGCAGGTGCCTTGGTCAGCAGGCAGCAGCATTCCCTGGCCCTCCCTGAATCACTCAGCCAGACAGAAAGAGGTGAGGCTTACGATGAAGAGCCTCTGCTTCTACCTATATAAAGGGTATTTATGGTTGAAATATATTAAATGCAGTATTTCACAATGACTCAAACCATCTTTTTCTCTGCAAAAGAGGGATTGGATGATGAGAACTTGAAGTGAGACTAACTTGAGGCCTTAAGAATGGGACCTACCTTAAATTTAGTATTTATTCACTAGTAGGAGACTTAACTCAGAAACTCATCTTAAATAGTGTGTTTGGAATTAGTCTCATGATTACTCATGGGACACCCATGAAGAAAATTTGCTTGTGAGGCCTGAATTTGGCTATGACCAGCTTCTTAGGAGCCTGATGTACCATGAGATCAAATCCTGAGTTCCCACCTCCTTCTTCCTCACCACAGGGCCTGGGCCAATGGGATGGCCCGCCCCACTAAGGCTGCAGTGTGTGCGAGTGCTGGAAAGCAAGAGTTCTCGTACCTGTGTTAGAGAGCAGCTTAGTGGCTTCCAGAACCTTCTCTGTGTAGACTCCTGGCTCATAGTTGTCCATCTCTGAGGTGACCACGTGAATGACCCGGGCTGCCCGGCCTCGAATTGCACCAGCTGTGCGGTCCAGGCCATCCACATCCTTCTCTTGGAGAGCAATGACACATTTGTTCACATCTTCCAAAATGTGATTCTCTGGAGAACAAGCAAAAAGCTGAATGGGGAGGGGGGCTTCTACAAGAAATGACAATTGTAAGCTGGCATCTATCATTTACTGAGTGTTTACTTGGTGCCAGCCAAGTAAATATACTGTGCTGATAGCCTTACGCTTTACATATATTTCACTGGAGAGACCAGTGACTAGTGACAGAAAGTAAACCTGTTATCAACTCCCAAGAATAACAATCTTCATTCCATATTTTGTTGTTTTTTTTTTAAAAAAGGAGACATGCCCATCTCTGAAGCACAGATGTTCTGTACGCCAGGCAGAAAACTATCATAGAAGCATCAGTATCTTCTCTTCCTCTAGCTTCACTGACCCTATGTCCCAAATAAAGGAAAGCTAAATTAGAACAAAAGTCCACTGTCTTCTCTCCCTCTCCTTCCAGGAGATGCTGATGATATTCAGACAATCTACCAAGAAGCCAGCACAGCCTTGGGACAGGAGAAGGTACTGGTAAGCAGGCTGAAGCCTCCTCTAGAGGACCCCGAGGTGTGAGGTGAACTATTTAATAACCCTCTTCATGGTGCACAGATGGGCTTGTGATATTTGCAGGGTGCCTACAGGTGAAGAAAACCCTTGAATCCTATGAAGCTGACAGGTGACTCCTAACAGTCATATAGCTGAATTTGGGCAACAAATGAAAACTATTTTTCCTCAAAGCAAAAAGCCTGACACTGTAATTTTTAGAAATCCCCCAACAAACAGTTTGCTCAAACTCATCTGTAATAACAACGTGGAAGCAACCATAATGTCCAAAAGAAGAGTTAATAAGTGAATTATGGGAACATGCAGCCATTAAAGTGGATGACGCAGATCTGGAGGTCGAGGCAGGAGAATTGCTTGAACCGGGGAGGCAGAAGTTGCAGTGAGCCAAGATTGCGCCACTGTACTCCAGCTGGGCAACTGAGTGAGACTCCTCTCAGAAACAAAAACAAAACAATAAAAAAAATACCTTTACCAGGGAAGGCCAGGAAATGGTAAGAATTCTTCTTAGAGAAGGGAAAACTAGATTACTGCAATATAGTTAAGACCATATTTTGGTCTCTATTAATTACAAATTATGAGACTTGCCAGAGTTTATACCACTGAACTACTGAAAGAGTAAACATATTAAACTTCTAATAAAGACAAATTTTAAGAGGGACATTTAAACCAATTACAAGGATAAATAGATTTGGAGCCCATCAGAAGCATTAAAAATATATATATAAACTCTAAATAATAATTTGAATTAAACAAACATACTGAGCATGCCGACCATACAAGGGCTTGGGTTAAAAACTGCTGCTTTTACTGGCTCTAACCCAACACCATTAAGATGAAACTTGCATTGGAAAGGAAAAGAAAGGAATAAAATGGAAAGAAAGTATGTTGGTAACACAACTAAGAACCAATGTTTTCTCATGTCATTGATTTTAAAATTCATCCCTGTTTCAGAATCAATGAAGTCTGGCATTCCTTTCCATTCACTAAACAAAGTGGCCCATACTTCCACCAAGGATTTCATACTTCCACCAAGGATTTTTAAATCTTCGTCTAGATACCTCTTTTTTTTTTTTTTTTTTTTTTAATTCATTTAGACTTTCTTGAATTCATCCTGGCATTCTTCTAGATGAACCTAAAGGGTATGCCGTATTTTAGAATAATATATCCCACTTCAGGAAGCTGATTAGCATTCTCCACCCTCAAGAAACACTTGTCTCTAGAAAAGCCCCAGCCTCACTGAGGCTACCATACCCACGACAGAGCACCCAGTCTGCTATCCACAACTAAACTGGATGGGGGTAGGTACGAGTCCACTGGTCAATGGAGGGGACAGGCTGTGCCCACATTAACTGAAACCATGCATCACTTTAGCTGAGGAAACAGCATACGTCCATATGAATAGACACCCCAATCTGTACCCATCAACTGTTCACAATACATGATTTATAGGTGTGCTTCTAACAGAAAAAAATTCATACACATTTAACAGTCCCCACAAAATAGGCACAACTATATGTAAGTGAACACAAAAGGAATTACATTATGAACAATATTGTATCTTTTTCACTGGAAAACTTTCTAGGTCTGGCCCTGCAGATCTACTTCATCCATTTTAATGGCTGCACAGTACCCTACTGAATAGATGGGGGGGGCTGTAATTCACTTATTCAGTCTTTTGTTAGACATTCTAATTGAAGAAAACATCCTTATTCAGGTATTTTGGCAAACATCTGTGACTAGCATGAGATCGCTGAGTTAAAAGGCATATGTGTTTAAAGTAGAAGTATGGTACCTAATTGCCCTCCAGGAACCATACCAACTGGCATTCTCCATAAAAGATGTCAGAACTTAAGCCTACAATGTGTGGCAGTAGAGCCTCTTCTTTGTACCCTCTGCCCTGGGTATCTGTATAGGGTGCAGCCTATGTAGGGCTGCTGCACACAAAGAAAATGAAAACAATGCTTCATGCTTTATGTAGAGGATTTACCCAGTGACCTGGGCTATTCTGAGGGCTTCACATGTAAACTCTCTATACAGTGGGCTTAGAAAAAAACACCATTAATCTAACTTCTAACTTGTCACTTCCTCCTGCTATTAAACACAAAACCAAAATTTAGGTACAATAATCTATTTAATGGCCTCTCAATCAGACCAGATTCTTTGGACACACTGATACTTAATGAAGGCGAGTATAAATTACCACTCCAAAGTGTTGCTCCAAAGCATTTAATGCAATATATTGTTTCTAAGAATATTTAGTCAAAACATTTAATAAACAAAATTAGAACTTCTCTAAGCAACCACCTGCACCTTCAAAAAAAAGAGAGCCAAAACTGCAACATGTAAGCAGAGTGAGGGAATGGAAATCAATAACATTTCCATGGAAAACGTTTATCAAACACAATCCAAATAAAATTCAAAGAGTCTTTATCACTTTGATAAATTTCAAACCACTCTCCTGAAGGGATTGGTCAATATATATTCTTGGTTTGCTGAATGCTAGCATCTTAAGCCATCTTCGATCTTTTCAAGGCAGTATTTGGATAGAACAGCTTGGGGAGGAAGAGACCCTATCCCTCCCCTCCCTGGAGGTATCATGCATATTCCTCTCTTTATATGCAGGTGCTACTGTCTCATATTAGACATACAATGACTGAAGTTCCCCCTGCCCTACAGTCTCATCAAATGCTGGCATAAGGGTCTTGTTGGCTGCACCTAGTTATATACAAGATGACCATTACTTTTTGAGAAACAAATCAGAACATGACTTTTAAGTATGAGGGAATTTCTGGAACCAATGGGACAGAATATCCAGAACAATGGAGCAGAAGCCCTACTCCAAAAACGATTTCCTCTCGGACAGGTTCTCAGTGACTGGGCAAGGCTATACCCAATATCCAGGCCCCATGGAGTGTAAGAGAATTTGATAGTGGAAAATCACAAATGCAAATATTCTGTAAGACCTCACACTATACCAAAGGGCCTCAAGCCCCAGGAAACAGCAGAAAACAACCACTCCAAGAAGTCAGGGTGCATCCCTGCTTTTGATTTAGTAAAAGCTATGAAGCCCACCTACCTCAAGCTAGATCCTGTGCTGGGCACTTGCTAGACAGCCCCCTACTCAACAACAAGCCCATCTCACTATGGGTCCACCAAAGTACCACTGTGCTTTAGGGCCAGGGGACACTGGCAAATGGGGCAGGGTCAGGTCAGGCCAAGATGTGGCTTCCCATCTAAATACTGCCTGTGACTGCTGCAGATGACACCTGTCTAGGCTGTGTGTCAGGTGAGATGGCAGGCTATCTCTCGTCCTCTGATGTAAAAAGTGCCAAAGCTAATGTGGTAGCTCGTATCTGTAATCCCAGAACTGAGAGGCTGAGGCAGGTGGATCACCTGACCAACAGCCTGGCCAACATGGTGAAACCCTGTCTCTACCACAACTACAAATACAAAAAATTAGGCGGGCATGGTGATGCGCACCTGTAATCCCAGCTACTCGGGAGGCTGAGGCAGGAGAACTGCCTGAACCCAGGAGGCGGAAGTTGCAGTGAGCCGAGATTGCACCATTACACTCCAGTCTGGGTGAGAAGAGCAAAACTCTATCTCAAAACAAAACATGCTAAACCTACCATGGGTAAGGTATGTATTTAAGAGTATAAAGAAGTCTGAATGCTGAAAATTAACTGGTCATTCCAGTAGAAACCTCCACAGGCACCTGCTTGTCTCTATTCTTTATTCTCCCGATAAAAGCTTATTATATAAATGAGAAGAACTGTAAAGAATGGCCTTGCCCTATTAATGATTTAATGACTTAACATTCCTAAGCAGGTCTGTGACAGAACATTAGAAAAACACACCAGGTAGAGTTCTAAAATTCAGATGCTTTGAAAACACCACCACCTTTGACTGAAAGAATTGTTCCATGATTTTATTTGCTAAATGGAAACTGTCTAAACTCCTTTCCATCAAATCAATCTCCTCATACTCTCATACTTTTGCATAAAAACTCAACACACTCACCAGACAACAGTGTATCTGTTAAAGGAATCTGATTTCTCTTTACCATCCTTTTATGTCATGTGCCCTAAAGATACTGCCTGGAATCCACTAAATGCTGCTGCAGAATCCCTGTTTTTACTGATTTGATGAATGGTGCATGAGGGACATTTGATGCTGTTACATTTTATTTTGCTCTAAAGAGGACTGAAAATCCCTCGAGACCAAGCCTGAGACATACCCAACCTAATCTCAAAAAAGTAACTTTAAGAATGTAGTATTTATCCAGAGGGGGGCTTTGCATTTAGATTTCAGAATTTGGTGTTTGCTTATAAGTGTGCTGTGAAGGTGGAATGTTTTTCTCTAAACTGATGAGAAAGAATAATTCAGTACTTCACTGGGAAAAACAACAGAAGGCCAAGATTTCCCAAAAAAGCCATTGCTGCATTTTTGGCACCTGCAAAGATGTGCTTGCAAATGAGTTTTTTGTTTTAAAGTACCAACACCTGCAATTTGGCAGTGCTGCAACAACATGGTTTACCCCCAACCTTTTGCAGTTTACAGATTGCCTGCTCCCCAGTTTCTCAAGTAAAGCCAAGACTACCCATCCTAAGGAAAGAGTGCGAAGACAGGGAGGCATTGGTATGCAGAACACACAGTCACCCTTATATAGGTCACTGCTGGAGGACTGTGCTGTGCATATACTTAAGCCCTGCTTCTGTTTCAAGCCCCATTGCCACGTTCTAGCCTGTGGTTCCCTGGGGTGACAGGTAGTTTCAGCCCTACAAAAACTTAGCCCCTGATTCTGCTTCTGCCTATAGCCACTGGCCTCAGGAAGTCTGGCACTTTCAGAGAGCAAGCTGTGCAGCCAAGGGCAACAGAGGCCCTGTTAAATGGAGAATGCATTTATAGTTATTCAACTCTAAGAAGACAGGATTGAAATTTATCTCTGTGTGATAAACACTGAATTGCATTTGACAGACATTTTCTATATGAATGCAATTTACTATGTCATTACCAGTTTATGTTTATATAATGAAATCAACTGTTTTTGTGAGGTGAATTACCCAGATTTATTTTTTCCAAGTTCATAATTAAATGGCACTTAAATATTTCCTCTCTGTTTTCTATCTATGCATCATGCAGACAGAGAGTCTTTGGAAAAGTAGGCACATAAACTATGACTATGATCATTCCTGAGAGACAGAAAAGAGGCATTCTAACAAGGGAAGAAATTATTTTAAGAAAGAAACTAAAGGTGATGGTGTTGAGAATCCCTTCTCCTCCTAAGTTTCATAGGCTCATAACAAATAACCACTTTCTCCACCAAGACACAGGTCAATGTTCTTTGTAAACACAATGGCAGCAAGAGAGATGGATGGTCATGGTGCTCTACAGGTCCCAGCTGGAGGACCTCACTCTATACCAGCAGGGAAAAACCTTTGATAGCCAGGTTTCTAATTCATGCTCTTAGGATCAAGACCAGTCCTAAGGAAACATCTTCAACCCCAGCTACTTTCCAGTAGCTGAGAAGCTATCACTTGAAAACCATGTAGCTGATGGCTTTTTTAACATTAAAATGAAAACCAGCACAATATTATTGTTAGAATAATTTACTTGCCAAGACGTAGGAGTGTTTGCCCATTAATATAACTTAGCAAAAGTAATTATGCACATCTTCACATGCTTCTCTGGGGAACCAGCTTATTACCTGAGACAGCCAAGAAGTCATCAATGGAAGTTATGTCATCGACAGCATCTGTGAGAACACGGACTTGTTTTTCCCATTGTTCTTTAAAAAGATCCATGTTCTCTTGGGCCAGTTTACTCTGTGGTTTTGCTGCTAAAGCCAATGCAGCGTTGATAACCTGCAAAATATGTTAAACTTCACTGTTTACTCTTTTTCAGTGTCAAGGCTTTGTCTTACACGCATTTCACTAGGAGACATCACACCACATGCTCTACCCTGTCACAAAGATGAAGCGGAAGAGCATTAAACAATGGGTTTTATATGGTGAAGTTGAAGTAATACATATTTTATTTGCAAACGGTGGACAATGATAAAAATTAACTGTAATAACGTCATTCGTGGTGGCAAATCTACCACTTTCAGTGACACTAAGTTCTAGGCTTTTTTTCTTCTCATATAGACACATAAACACACAATTAGAAGTATATGCTACATAAAATGAACTATCCTGACTCTTATTTTAAATAATTCTCTATATCATGAAATATGTTTAAATCACTACCTTTATTGTTCTATGTTATGGATGCACTGTTATTCTCCTACTGTCGGATATGTGGGTTGTTCTGGTTACCCACCACTACAAATAATCTTGTGATGAAAATTTGGCATTTCAGGTTCTTGATACATTATCAAAATGTATTCATGAAAAATATACTGGATCCAAGTATAAGTATTTTTTCATTTTCTTTTTAATGGAGGCATATTTGACAAAAAGCTGCACAAAAAATGTATACTCTATTAAGGTTTTAAACTAATTTTAAAGCCTGGATAACACAGTGAGACCCCATCTCTACTAACAATAAAGAAAATGAGCTGGGCATGGTGGCGCACACCTGTATTCCCAGTTACTTGAGAGGCCAAGGTGGGAGCACTGCTTGGGCCCAGGAGGTCAAGGCTGCAGTGAACTGTGATCACACCACTGCACTCCAGCTTGGGCAACACAGTAAGACTCCATCTCAAAAAAGACAAACAAGCTGGGCATTGTGGCTCAAGCTTGTAATCCCAGCACTTTGGGAGGAGAAGGCAGGAGGATTGCTTAAGCCCAGGAGTTCGAGACCAGCCTGGACAAACATTAAGAAGACACTGTCTCAAAAAAAAAAAAAAAAAAAAAAAGGGACAAAAACAGCTTTATTGAAACAGAATTCACATATCATACAATACACCCATTTAAAGAATACAATTTCACCGATTTTTTAAAATATATATTTGTAATTGTGCAACATTCACCACATTGTTTTAGAACATTTTCTTCACTACAAAAAGAAACCCCATCCATATCCATTAGCAGCCATTTCCTACAATTCTCTTTACCACTTCCCCCCCCTTTTTTTTGCAACCACTAATTTATTTTCTATCTCTATAAATTGACTATTCTGAACATATCAGATAAATGGAATCATGTAACATGTGGACTTTTATAACTAGCTTTTTTTCACTTAATACTGTGTGTGTGTGTGTGTGTGTGTGTGTGTGTGTGTGTGTGTGTTGTTGTTGTTTTCTTTTTGAGACTAAGTTTTGCCCTGTCGCCCAGGCTGGAGTGCAGTGGCGCAATCTCGGCTCATGCAACCTCCACCTCTCAGGCTCAAGCCATTCTTGTGCCTCAGCCTCCCAAGTAGCTGGGATTTACAGGTATGCACCACCACCAGGTTCATTTTTGTATTTTTAGTAGAGACGGGTTTTCACCATGTTGGCCACACTAGTCTCAAACTCCTGAACACCTCCCAAAGTGCTGGGATTACAGAGTGAGCCACGGCTCCCAGCCTAACATAATGTTTTAAAAGTTCATTCATGTGTAGCATGTACTAGTACTTTCTTTTTGTTGATGAATAACATTCTGTTCTACGGATATGCCACATTTTATTTAGCCATTCATCAGTTAATGGACATTTGAATTATTGCCACTCTTTGGCTGTTATGAATAATGTTGCTATGAATGCTCAAACACATGCTTCTGTGTTTTTACTTCTTTGGGAATGGAGCAGAACTGATGGAACATACAGTAAACTTTGTGTTTAAACTTTTGAGGAGCTGTTTTACCTTTTTCCAAAAAGGCTGAACCATTTTACATCCCACCAGTGTGTATGAGGGTTACAGTGCCCTCCATCTTCATGATACTGAGTTGTGAAACTATAGAATCATTTACCTTAAAAATCAAGATGTTATTAATTGGAATACTTACTGTCACCACTGGTTAAATAATAATATAATTGACTTTCTAGCCAATGAAGTAAGGTAAGAAATGAAAATAATAGGAAAAGCTGTTAGAGGATGAAAAATTATACATTCCAATGCAAATTATATAGAAAATTGAAGTACGTCAACTGAAAAAACTCTTAGAATCATTAATATAACTAAAGATAGGGCTAGGTGTGGTGGCTCACGCCTGTAATCCCAGCACTTTGGGAGGCCAAGGCAGGTGGATCACGAGGTCAAGAGATCGAGACCATCCTGGTCAACATGGTGAAACCCCGTCTCTACTAAAAATACAAAAAATTAGCTGGACATGGTGGCACGTGCCTGTAATCCCAGCTACTCGGGAGGCTGAGGCAGGAGAACTGCCTGAACTCAGGAGGCGGAGGTTGTGGTGAGCTGAGATCACGCCATTGCACTCCAGCCTGGGTAACAAGAGTGAAACTCCATCTCAAAAAAAAAAAAAAAAAAAAAGACAATATAATGTCAGATCTCCCACAAAGCAATTCATATGAAATATATAAAGGTTCAATCTGTAAAGAAATGAACATGACTGAAGTTAAAGAAAAATTCACTTCAGTTATATACTAAGTCATCATTAGTCACAATATTTATGTCTTGGAAAATTCCCTTTCAAAATAACAACAGGAGAAGCCAACCTATAAATTTAATTATGTATGTCTATATTTAAATATGTATTACAGATTAAATATACAGTGTTAGGTAAATCAGTAAGGGAAACACCAAAACACCAGTAGAAAAACAGGGAAAGGAATGGACTATTTACTTTAGGTAAAGTACAAATGATGAGAAAACAGCTGTTGGGGGGGGAGTTACTCTTACTTACAAATTTAAAACTGGAAATTGATGTTACTATTAAATTTGCAAGGAGCTCCCAACTAGGCACCATCACTGTACTGAATGAAAGTTTTAAAATACTATTGTTGGCTTCAGCCCCAGTAAAATGTGACAAGGGGTGGCAAGGAATGTCCTTGTCCTATTTCTGATCACAGGGGAAACCATTCAGTCTTTACCATTAAGTATAACGTTAGCTGTTGATTGTTCATGGAGCTTCTTTATCAGGATAAGGAAGTTCTTTCCTATTCCTAATCTGTAAAGTGTTTTTATCAGGACTGGATGTTGAATTTTCTCAAACACTATTTCTGTTTTGTTTCCACATTCTGGCTACTTTTGTCTTTGTCGCCTTTGCTGTTTTGTCTTCTAACAGTGTCAGGATTTCCTCAAAGCTCAGTCCTATGCTGCCTTCTCTCCTCTTTCTATTCTTCCCACCCCTAGGCAATCTCATCTATTCCCAGAAACTTTTCTTTTTTTTTTTTTTTTTTTTTTTTTTTTAACTTGACTTCCAAGACACAGCCAGCTTCTGGGGCTCTGTTCCTGACAGTGCTTCCTCAGGCTCCTGTGCTGGCCACTGCTCACCTTCTGAAACTCAATGTTAGAGACCTGGTTCCACTCCCAGACCTTTCCTTCATGTAGACTCACTCCCTTGATGATCTCGCACATTTAATACACATCCTGTCCAGACCTCTTCCCTCAACATGACATGCATCTTGCATGTCTAACAGGCACCTCAAAATTAACATGTCCAAACTGATCTCTTTCCCCATACCATCTTTCCTTATCAAAGTAAATGAGAACTCCATCCTTCTAGCTGCTTAGGCTCAAAACTCTGTCCTATTCTCTGATTCTTCTTTTTCTCTCTCACTTCACATCTAATCCTTCAGTAAATTTCACCTTCAAAATATATCCAAATTCTAACCAGTGCTCACCACATCCACTGTACTCTTGCCTGGATTAGTACAATAACATCTGTTTTAGTCTTCTATTGATTTTGTAAATAAATTACCACAAATTTAGCGGCTTAAAACAACACACATTTATTATCTTATAGTTTCTGGAGGTCAGAATTCTGAAATGGGTCTTACAGAGCTAAAATCAACATTACCATCAGATCTGTGTTCCTTCTGGAGGTTCTAGTGAAAAAGCCAGTCCCTGACTTCTCCAAATTCCTGACTTGTGCCCACATTCCTTGACTTTTGGCCACAAAACTCCAGCCTCTGCTTCCATCATCGCATTTCCTTCTCTGCCTCTGATGCTCCTGCCTCCCTCATATAAGGACACTTATGATTATATTGGGGGGCCCACTGGGATAATCTAGGATAATCTTTTCATCTAAAGAGCTTTAATTTATTTGTTCCTGCAAAGTCCCCTTAGCCGTGTAAGGTAATATAATCCCAGGTTTAGGGAATTAGGAAATGGATATATTTGGGAGGCTATTATTCTGTATACTGCAATTTCCTAAAGAGCCCCTCTGCTTCTATCCCCCTTCACAGAAGTCAAGAGAGATCTTGGTTTTCTGTTTATTTTTGAGACAGGGTCTCACTCTGTCACCCAGGCTGGAGTGCAGAGGCACAATCATGGCTCACTATATCCTCGACCTCTGGACTCAAGCAATCTTCCCAGCTCAGCCTCCCACAAAGCCAGGACTATAGGCTTGCACCACCATGCCTGGCTAATTTTTTATTTTTATTTTTGTAGAGACAGGGTCTCACTATGTTGCTCAGGCTGTTCTAGAACTCCTGGGCTCAAGTGATCCTCCAGTCTGAGCCTCCCAAAGTGCTGGGATTACAGGAGTAAGGTGCTGCGCCTGGCTGAGATCTTGTTAAAATCTAAGTAAGATATGCCACTTTTCTACTCAAAACCCTTCAATCATTTCCCATCTCAGATTAAAAGCCAAAAGCCTATGACTATGACCTTCAAAGGTCATGCAATCCCTAAGTTTCTTTTAGATATCTGATCTCCTTCCTCCAAGCCTTTGCACTTGCTGTTCCTTCTGCCTGAGCACTCTCCCGTGAGATATCCTGTGTGGTCTGCTCTGCCATTTCCTTGAGGTCGTTGTTTATACAGCAC